AATTTAACGACTGAACAACAACAACCCCCACCCCTGCAGACATCTTAGGAATCCTTGCACCAAAATAAATAAAGGAGTCAAAAGACTGTGGGTACACATGCACACACACACACACACACACACACACACTCACACATGCACACATACATGTGTGTGTTTTGAAGTTCAATTCTCATTCCCTCTATATGACCACCTTTGATATTCAGTCCACATTTATCACCCATTCATTCTCGTTCTGCAACATATACTTCCTAAATACCTCATCCCCATTGCATTTAACTTAGTTTTACATTTCGCCTAACATAGCCAACTTTTACATCTGTATAATAGTTGGAAAAGGCCCCCTGGTGTACCCAGTAATTTTTGCTTACCTACAATAAAAAGCATAAAACTGAAACAAAACAACCATTGAAAAGGATTGTTCCTAAGCCTCCTAATAATGTGTTTCATCCTTTGTCAAACAATTAATAGTCTTTTTAGGATTAGGCTAAGGAATTTATTATTTTAGACTTCAATTATACTGAATATGTAATTGTGATTTTAATACTATGCATCTTCTGTATACATGAACTCAACCTAGGATGATGCTAGACCTGATTACTTATGCACTGTGATTGTTACATTTATTTTTTTACAATCATCCGTATGCTATCTATTCTCACAACTCTAGCCAGTTTACAATAAAACATTCATGGAGTACCCATAAAACCAAAACCAAATAAAACCTATAAATATTGTTAATAAAACTGTTGCTACATTAGACAGATCTTCTTATCATATTGCCTTCTTCACCATGGACTATGAGTATACATGCTATATAGAACACTATTGTAAAATATAGTTACCTTGGTTAAATTGATCTCCTTGATAACACATTGTTGATTATCCTCTTTTTTTCTGGCTAAGAATATTTTGCCAAATGATCCTTCTCCAATCAGTTTAATTATTACATAATTATCCATGGTTCTGAGTTTTGGAGAAATACCAAAAACAAAAAGAATGTAACACTTAATATTTAAAATCTAGACTTTACCTCAAACTCCAACCTCTAATTTTTCAGGTATAGATTTTTCTTTTCTTTTTGGAAAGTTTATCTATTTTTCTTTTTAAAAAAATCTGGGTCAGATACTCACAACTGAAAGAGCAATATCCCTATCCCTATAAGGGGTGAAGTAGTTGCAAAACAGGGGAAATTATCATTATTTCAGATGAATTATTATGAAATGTGTATGAAATAAAAGAAATCTTGGACTCAGAGGATGAAAGTGTGAAAGGCGTACATGTAAACATCACCCTGTTTGTAGTCTGGGGCTTATTCCAAGTCAGCCTTTCCCAACCTTGTATCTACAGATGTTTTGAACAGCTATCTTCTTTTCAACTATCACCATCCTACAGATATTCTGGACAACTATCATCTCTTCTCTTCCAAGGGAAATGGAAGCTACATTTGGAGGGCATCAGGTTGGAAAAGGCAGCTACATGGCACATGACCTACTCAACAGATGTCTGGTCAGTGGCTGGGTCCAGATGGGAGACGGCTTGGGATCTGCATGTAAGTTCCATGATAGAAGAAAAACTGTATACAAACATACTAAATAACACAAATCATAACAATATGAGACCTTTCACTAGTTACTTTAAGTCATTCCAGATTCCTTTCCAAGCAGACCAGTCATTACTCAGAGCATCTTTAGAAAATGGAATTTTCCCTTGAAGTGTGGATTGACCACAATCCTCCAATTCGTGCAGATGTGAATTTGAGGTGAGTGGCAGTTCTACTAGGCTGATAAATACCAAGCAGTTCTCTTACTCTGAGGAGAAGGGGCCTTAAAATGGATGCAGGCTGCAACTTTTCACACCCTTTACCCAGGAGTAATCCCCAGTTACTTACTGAGGCTTACTTCTGAGCAAACCTATGTAAGTTTGCATTGATAACCTTATTAAAGGGTAAGACTCACAGAGAGATCACGGTACCCCCTTCCTCTGCGGGGAGGGGGGAATCTCCCCGCCTTTCCCAGCTCCTCCCCTTCTCCGTTGCCAAGGGAACAGAACTGACGCGCACGCAGATTCCCTGCCTGTTTGCGCTCCACAACTTTATTTTCTTTCAGTCATCCACCCACCCACCACGGGGACGCTTTTCTGAGCCCGGAGAAGGGAAGAGTCCTCCAGGACCGGGAACATCAACTTACATCGCCTAAAGTACCTGGAGGTCCGCAGCCGACGGAAGCAGTCGCTTCTTCAGCGCCCGTGGGGGCGTGCTTTCTTCACATCCCGCCCTATCGCCCGGGTCAGGGATCGGTTTCTGCAGCCTTCCGCAACCTGATGCGCTTCAGTTAAGTTAGACTACAACTCCCATCATCCCTCTTCAGCATGGCTCTATTAAGGTAGTCGGAAAGAATTGGAAGGTAGCAGGCCGGAGCAGGGCCCGTTTGTAGAAATTAGCAGCTCTGGAGTTCAATGTGCACATCACCTCCTTGCGCTGGCTCTTCACCATTACCCCCCCCAACAGAGTTTTCAGTTACTTCATATGTTCATAAAAATAGCCACATGGAACAAGAATTTTAAAATGCACAGGAACAGAAAGTTGCTTTAACCAAGCTACACAATGAATATCTACTAAAAGTTTTATTGGTTTAAACTGGATTTACTTCCAGATAAATGATAATTCATTCTTCCTTAAACTGTGTGTGAACTTCAGCTCCCAAAATTCTAGGCAGTGTCCTGCTTGCCAGGCACCTACACATCTGGAAGGCACCCAAGTTGGGGAGAGTGGTCTCTTTTTTTAAACTTTCATCAGAATACACTTCTTTTAACATCTCAGTATGGTGTCCTGAGGAGGGGTGGGGGGAGTCTTTTGCAGCAAAGCATTTTTTAAAAGCTGTAACATTTATTGGCATTTTTACCAGTTTAGTATTTTCAATTAATATAAAATTAATATAATCTCTAAAGGATATAATATTCTGTATGAGAAGAAATTATATATTTTTGCTAAGATACTTGGAGAAATTTAGTACTTGAGAGGCACTCCAAAAAAGAGATTTTAGCTTTGTGTCCTTTTCACTCACATCCTTTCAGCAGGTAACAACCAGTGCACTTCAGTCCAAAATCACAGTAAACACATGAACTTGCATATGCAAGATAATGATGGGAAACTGGAGATTCAGATTTTTGGGTCATCTATAATCCTTCAATGGCATAGGAGTTATGGGAATTTTGTTTATACCCTTGCCAGCTGCCTCATTTAAAGCAACCTTATTGAATCTTTTATGTGCCACATGTTTGAGCTTAACACAAAGATATCTTTCAATTAGGTAATAGCTTAACAAAAACAATCCCTCTCCATAACCATCACTAAAATATAAATTAAAACACATATAGCAGTTTAAAGTGATTGTGTAAACTAATGATTTGAAGGTATTGTTATAACATTTTCAGACCTACACCACAAGGTTCATTGCCAAGCGACAAGTTCTAAGCATGGGCATCTACGGGAGGGGGACAAATTATAACATGTGTACAATTACATGATGCAATTTTCTTACGTACATCAAACAAATTTAACCACCTTCCCATTTGTGTAACAATATGCATATGTAATTTTGACATCATGGCTTATTATAGACTGCTTCTAAAGTTAACATGTCTATTCCAATTCTCAAAGTTATCTCCCATAATTCATACCCAGCATGACCAACTAACTAAGCAGCATAATTCATACTAACTAACTAAGCAGCATAATTCATACCCAGCACGACCAAGCATAAAATGGAAAGAAGTTCAACACATCTATAGAGATCCAGTTTAGAGAAGAGAGGTTAAGAGTCTGAAACAGTCTGATTCTTATCAGATCAAATTTAACACATAAATTTGACTGTCAGCATGTTACAGCACCATTTGTAGCTATTCTAAAAAAGTTTAATATAATACAATAAATAATGTATTATTAAATATGTAATAAATAAAACTACATACTAATTGTAATAAATAAAATTACATACACATTTTATTACATATTTCATAATACATTATTTATTTATTAACAATTGTGAGCCACCTAGAGTTGGTAAAAGATGGGTGGCCACATAAATGTTTGAAATAAACAAACACACAAACAAACAAGCAGGCCACAGAGCTGTAGCTTGGCTCCTTTGCGAAAATCCTGTTTGGACACCACTGTAATGGCAGGGTTGTGTGTTTGGTGGTTATGGTGCCAACACCTATCCTGCTGGAGATCAACTGGCCAGGTTCCTGGGGTTTCCTGTCTAGGATAAATAGGGCTCCCTGCGCCCCATCTCCCTAACTGCATTCAGTGAATTAAGCTTATATGACTGAAGAATAACCCTGAAGTCATACTGATGAAAGACATGGTTCCAGAAGATACCCTCTTGGAATTTAGGAAAAATTGAAATAAACAAGTTTATTAACTATGACCAAACACAAAATCAAATAAAAAGATATATCTATCTAGATTTTGCCATATTCTGAAATCCAGACTCAATCTTCCTGAAGCCTGGGCACCTTAAGTTTCAAGGCCAGCACTCCCAAATGTCTAGGAATATGAAATGCCAGAGAGGGAAAACACAAAAGCCATACCTTGCTCTCTGTGTCAGACTCTGTGTCAAGACTCTGCTAATCCTTGACTGCCCTCTAATACAGTGTATTTCTGATTCTGACATATCTCTGATTTTGAGATATTTCTATATCGAGTAAAGAATTTTGTATAAGAAATGCGTATTTTAGTACCTTTAAGAGGAATGTAATTGCTATGCCTTTTTTGCATCAAAAAACCCAACCCAAATTAAATTTGTTTCCTCAAAGAAATACATTCGGAATCATTATGTGTCAATAAGTGTGTTTCTGCTAGTCTCTGAAATCATTCATCAATATTTTTGTGTTGATATTGGATTATTTGTTGGTACTCCTTCCTTTACTTCCATTGGTTTTGACATCTTCTGCAGTTCAGAAATCCAATCTGGATCATCTTCTGCTTCAAAATCCCTATATGAAAATGTAATTAAAAAATTAGGAGGAGGAAGAGGAGATTATCATTTATTTTAAAGAAATCTAGAACCACTAAATACATATATTTTCTCATTTTGAACTCCCAGGACTTCAATCATCCACCTGAGATATTTTCCTATTAAAATTATTCTATGAATTCTAAAATTCTTCTGAACAATCTGTTCTGTTGTCCATTACAGTCAAAGTGTTTTTTCTAGTTATCTAACCTAAAGCCTATAAACTGTTATTACATTGTTTTATTTTTATATCTCACTTAATATGTGCTTGAAAAGCAGATATTATTTTTCTCTGGGGAAAGTTTTAAATATCTGAAACAAATATTTATGTCCTCTGTTTACATCTGCTTATCTGCTTCTTTGAGAACCTTCATTGGTCACACATCAGTTTTATTACTCTATTCTTAGTAATCTTCAATATTTTTATTTGTAGACAAAGGGCACATGTACAAATCAAACACTTTTCTCTGCTAGTGAGCTTCTTGAAACTTACAGACTAGTAGATATGTAACAACCATTATGCTCTTACATAAAAGGGAGGTTGAGTCCAAATTTCAACTTCCAGTGATAGCACAATATACTGTATGGCAGACCATTCACGAAGACTTCCAATTTTTTATATATTAAGAGAGACTATAATTTCATGGGAGTATCTAAAACTTGAGATTCAGAAGTTCTTCCACATACTACTTGTTATATTGTTACTGCTTCTAAACTGAATTAGGGATGTATCACACTGAGTGATCAGACTTCTGCTCATCCAAGCAGAACTGGAGGGGAGATAGAGTTGGGGGAATCTAACAGCTGATAAATACAACCCACAGTTGAAAAATGGCATGAAGCTACAGTTGGATTTTGTATGAGAGATGTTTACACTGTTTAAAATAGAAAAGAATTCCAACAATTAGTTTTTCAAACTGTATTGCAACATACGTATCCTCTTCATCTGATCTAGGTTCAAGTCTCTCTGCATCCTCCATAAAAGTTTCACCATCTGGTTCATCAGATGCTTTGTTCTCTCCTGTAAGTGGTCCACTCAGTAGGTCATCAGAGGCTTTAATATTAAAAAAAAAAAAGAAAGCATTCATAGTTCCTTCCATTCAGATATTTAAAAAATCAGTAAGAAAATCAATTCCTACCATACCTGCCATTGCCCATTAATGCTGCAGTCTTGCTACCTGCCCCTGACCCACCCCTCCTACAAATGCACTAATTTCCCCAGGCTAGGAGCTTCATCCACAGCACAGCAGCATCCCTAGCCACTTCCAGTCTCCCAGATGACCATCATTACCTCCTCACCCAGAATCAGAGCTGATGCCACATCCAAAACCTCATTGGGCACATTTTGGAGAGGGGTACTCCCCTGTCTATGTCCTGTCAGGTCTCAATAATTCATGTCAGATCACCCATCTCATCTGGATCAAGTCCAGATAAGGTGAGCCTTATTAGAGACCAACCGGTTATTAAGCAGCAATCACTGCAACCCCAGGCCACCTAAGGTTCCATAGCTAGGCACTGGGAATGAATACAGGGAGCCAGAACATGGGACTGATACAAGCTATCAGGCCCACATTCCCTGTGAATGGTCTACACCCTGACTCCCACCATACCTGCCACTGCCCATCAATACCATGATCTTCCTACCTCCCCCTGACCACCTCCCCCATACACTAATTTGCCTCAACTCCTGCCAACTCACCTCCCAGGCTAAGGGCCTCATCCATAGTCACTCCTAGCACATCCACAGTAGACTGGACAGTCAGCACCAAGATGCTACTGATCTCAGCCCCTAAGTACAACCCACCAGTTCCCACTGCCCCCTCAACCACCACCAATTTGACTTCCTATTCTCACCAGGGGAAACCAATGAGCAACTGAAGATAAACAACCAACAAGCACTCCACAGCTAAGGTAAGCCCCCATCCCCTATTTACATCTCCCATCCAGGGGAGAAATGAGCAGCTATAATCCCTATTGCCTGCAAACCATACTAAAACCACCAGCTAGCTCCAGCTCCCACTGAGACTCAGTGCCAGGGTTTGATCACATCTAGTCCTGAAAACCTCAGAAGGCAATGGGAGCAGGCAGACCAGCTCACTCCTGTTATGCCAAAGGGGCAGCAGGTAAAAGATTGATCATTGTTGCTACAGCCAGGAGAGCAGTCTTCTGCTGCTCTGCTATAATTGACAAACCACCTAATGGCTGAGCTGTGGCTCTCCTGCTGCTGCTACTGCTCCACTATGGCCACATTCACTGTTTCCACCACTTTCACTGCCACCACTGTAACCTTTCCTCACTGTTCTATTTGCCATTTTGGAGATCAGCATTCACTCCAGTTATAAGACCAGCCAATAGTTCAGCCCAAGTGTCAAAGGAAGCTCCATCTTCCTACTTAAGGTGCCATCCAGGGAATTCAAAACCAGAATCCATAGCAGCCACATTGGTCTGCTGGAGCTTGGGAAACTAATTTCATAAGACCTTCCAAACCTCCAAACCATCAACTCCACATGCTAAAACCACCTATCCATGATCCCATTCTAAGGAAACTTAACTCAGCCTATCACCATGATAGGGAAAAAAAATCACCTCCTTTGTGGATTGTGTATGTCTTAAAAGCTAAGCTAACATCAGCACTGTGAAGAATATTAATCAAAGTCTGTGAAGGCTCCTTGTTCCATTGTTTACGCGTCACGTTTTCATCATATTTTCTCACATGGCTACCTAATTAAAAGAACAGAAATATTGTATTACTGGAGAAACTACCCTTATAAAAAAAAAAAATAGTAATACAGAAAAAATACTAATGTGTAATTGTGGAAGCCAGTAGCAGGAACCAGACAAAAACATGTATCTAAAAACATACGAAATGGACATAAGCAGAGTTAATTCTAAGGCAGATTGTGGCCCCTTTGAAGTCTATGTGAATGGAATTTTCTCCTGCTCTTTATTTATTACATCATTTCTATCCATCCTATTCCAAACTTCTCCAAGTGGCATAGAACAAACTACTCCAGGTGATATAGAACATAAAACAAAATAAACATCTTAAACTATTGCCATAAAACCATCTAAAAGGAATTTTATAACACTATATACCATAAACAAACTTAAGAACACAAAAAATGAAACTCCTTTTCTTCTAACCTGTAGTTCCCATTCTTCTGGTGGACAGCCAGAACTAGATTCAATTTATTTAGCTACTGTATGTTTAATGAACCCATGCTAAGGTGTAGCTATGTAGCATGCTTATCTTTTGAAAGAAAGTGCACTTTAACTGACCCATTGTGCACACAGTTAACTCACTGTCCTAAATCACATGCTTCGGTATCCTTAAAATGAAGTGCATATCAGTATACCTCACAGAATGGTTTTGAGCATAGAAACTCTGAGGACCGTATATGTCATTCTGATCTGACAAAAAAATAAATAAATAAATAAATAAAATCAATATATGATGTAGTCCTATTCCTCAGATGTTGAAACTGGAATTCTGAATGTACAACTATGTAACAATGTTTTCTTATTGTTTGCTTTCAATCACAATTGTTTGAAAAGCCTAGAATGGGCCCCTGGATAATGTACAGTACCCAAGCAGACTCAGCTTTTAGTAGTTAGTGCTGAACCTCCAAGAGACTATTTATGGCCTATGGTGAGATAATTTAAATAATCATTAAGGTCTGATGAAATTGTAACAAATCTCTAGTGAACTCCAGTTCAAGAATTTTACACACAATGATTTGTCTCTGCCCTACCCTCTTTCTATAGTATATTACCAAAAATGGGTAACCACTCCAATCTCAGTTTAGAATGAGTCCAATCTTTCCAAGCTCTTTGAGAGTTACCAATTCTACCCTACCCTTAGTTTCTGTCCTCCCAAAAGGATGCCGATAGTAGCAGAAAAGTTGGGGACAAATGGCACTAAAGCAAGCAAATCGCAAACTCATCTGGATTTGGGAGGAGAGTTTAATTCAATTTAAAATTGACATGCTTTTCTGGAGTTAATTTCTGATACAATTCCTATCATTCTGATCAGAATATCTGGCATCATTCTCCCAGATCAGAGCAAAAACTGTTTATAGATAAATTAGAAAAACATTCTGCAGGATTATCTAATTTAATCAAACAGAACTCTCTTCTCCCTCTGGTTTCCCCTCACCCCTTCTTTAAAATATTATTCCTTTGTCCCAGATTAATATATTGTAGACTTAGAATTCTTCACCCCACTGGTTTGTGGGACCCCTTCCTCTTTCCACATGCTGCACTGACATAAAGAAATACACAAGCCAAGAATTGCTGACAGTAGTTCCAGTAGAGCTCGGCTGAAGATGTCTGTGGTTTTGCCTATGGGGGAAACTCACCCACTGCTGCATCTATGTTGAGAATGTAGCCCTGCCAGTTTCTCATTCAAAGTCAAAATGGTTCTTCTCACACCTCTTTGTTTCTTACACAAACTAATATGGGCTGAGACTATTGGAGCAGGCATGGGGGGAGTACTATCTTTAAATGTCACAGTGGTTTCTGACGGCAAACAACATACACTATGCAAATAAATATGTATATTATCTTACCTGTGTCCTCCTTGGTTGCAATACTAGAAGAAAGTAAAGGTGCATTTCCTAAAATTTTGATCACTGTGCTGGATCTTCCTTTTTCCCACTTTTGTCTAGAAGGTTCTGGAAAAACAGTATTTGGGAAAGCCTTTTAAACAAATGTTTCAGGAAAATTCAGCAGAATCTTCAAACTTTTCCTAGCTTCAACAACCAGTTCTTCAATATGGTATTTTGTATGGATGAAAGGTGATTAAGCCCTTGAAAGAGAATGGTTTTTGCTACCAAGAGAAAAGAATAGTGATTCTTTCACGTTAATCCTTATTTCCTACAAACCTGTTTCTAAGGCAGAGGTACCTCCAGCATCCTATTTGTGGCGTGCCAGTACTTAGTATATTGCCATTGACTGGTAACAAAATGACCAAATTTTGTGTTGTAATTTTAGGCATATTTGGGGTAGGATTAAGGCTGATAATGATAGCACTGTCTCCCTCTCCTAGTCCTGCCTTCTAAAGCCCAAAAAGGGCCAAAAAATATAAAAGGGACAAAAAATATCAGCCTGACAATTTGTGGTGGCATTGCAGCATCACTGGATGGTATCTTGCAGCCATTAGATTAGGAGGCTAAATTGTGCCCCTAACAACTTAGCAGTTGTTCTTATCTGTACTAAATGTTTCAGATTTTCAGAAATACTTTGGGGAAGCACAGAGAACTGCAGGAAGTAAAGAAATTCCTGTTGAGTACAGGAACACAATTCAGATTTTATCTTCTATTACCTGCCCCCATATTAAGAGTTTTAAACATTAAAATATAAGAATGTTAAGACTATATTTAGAACCCTAAGGTTCACGTGTTTTAAAAAATCTCCACTATGGTATACATACCAATCTTTCAATATGTTGTTTATTGTTTGACAGGGCTAGCAAAGTCATTCATTAAAAAGTGTAATCCTACTCAGAAGCAAGTCTCACTAAATTCTGATAAATGTGCCTAGGACTGCACTCTCAGAAAAGCTTAAATCATGTACTTTGGTGTAAATCACACAATCAACCTTATCAAAACTAATCCCATGCCATGGTCCACAAACAGATCATTTCTGAATTCAACATACAGTATATCTTTTTGATCCATACTTGTTTGATCCAGTCCCATTTCACTGAAGTTCTTGGAGATGGCTTCTGTTTCTGAACAGCTATTCTTGCTTCCTGCATATGTTCCATCCTCCTTAATAAGATTAAGATAGTATTTATCATTATTAACTGAACAACCTACATAAAGTTGGGGGGCATACTACATATTATGTGAGTAAATATCCATTTACATAAAAGGACTTTCCTGTGCTCCTATGTTCACGCCACATATAGACACATCTGCTCAGGAGGATCCTTGAAATTCTTGAGCAGATGTAAAAGTTGCACATAAGTAAGACAAGGGAAAGAAAAATCTGTTTTCTCAAGAAAATGAGTCATTTAAATACATTCCTTTTTTCTTATTTATTATCAGTGGAAAAAAAATTAAACAAATTTCTGAATATTAACTATTCGGTAATTAAACTGCATGCCATCAAGCATAAAAAAAAGTCTTGATCTCTAATGCCAAGTGAATTCACTGTAAAAAAGAATGATTTGGTTTACTAAGCAGCTCCAGAAGATGAAGTGCCAGAAGAGACTCCTGGAGCACCGTTGAAGGAAGGCAAAGAGCAAGTTTGACTGAACACAAAAGCCCATATTATATTGTGGCAATCAGAGTGGTGAAACTTCAGTATTTCTCCACTCTTATTGGGTCTGCCAATAGTCATCCACCAGCCCTATTTAAGATGACATGATCCTTGCTGGGAAGGGGTGGGTTACAGGAAGGGCCATTGTGAAGAATATTCTAATTATCAGGTCCACTCAGAGTTGGACTCTGAATGGACTAGTCTGGGCCCATTCCTGGGTCATGGTCTTGTGAGATTGTCTCGGATGAGACTGAGTCTGTGACTCCTGATGAAGTGGGCACGATCCTCTAAACTATGAGCACAGCTACCTCCTTGTTAGACCCAGGCCTCTCTTGGGTTGTTAAGGCTACCTAGGAGGTAACCTGTTGCTGAGTCCAGGCAGTCAGATCAGCGTCTTTCAGAGAAAAGTGATTTCTTCAGTCTTGATGGAGGTAGTAGTGTACCCCCTCCTCAAAAGATGTCCTTGGACCTGGTGATTTTAGATAATTATCAAACCTTTTAAGGAAGATTATGGACAAGGTGGTTGGAAGGAAGCTGATTATCTGGTCCCATTTCAGCCAGGTTTTAGGCTGGGATTCAGCATGGAGATAGCATTAGTCATGCTTGCTGATGACATCTGGTGGAGCTGGGATAGATGGTATGCCTATCCTTGTGCTCTTAGTGGCTTTCAGTATCATCAATCATAGTATCCTTCTGCATCAGCTGCATGGTTTGGAAACTGAAGGCACCATGTTACAGTGGTTCTCCTCCTCTCTCGGTGGCCAGTTCCCATCAGTGCAGGCAAGGAGGAGAGGGTTGCACACTCAGCCCCTCATCTGTGGGGTGCCTCAGGGCTTATTGCACTCTCCCCTCCTGTAAACTTCTACAGGAAAACCCTGGGGGAGGTCATCTGTCAGTTTGGGGACAGGTATTATCTATATGCGGACGATATCAGTTGTACACCTTGACCTTGGGCAGGCCAAGTGATGCCATCAGTGTCCAGTGTCTGGAGGCTGTGTGGGACTGGATGGGGAGGCACAAACAGGCTCAATCCTGCCAAGACAAAATGGCTGTGAATTTTTGCCCCCCTCCTCCCAAATCTGGGGACTTTCCATTTTTAGGCTTGGATTGAATTGCAATTCCCCATTTAATACTACTGCCCAATCTGGGGGTTATCTCACAGCTCCTGCTTAAAGATCAGGTAGTAGCTGTAGCCAAGTGGGCCTTGGCTCAACTACAACCAGTGTGCCAGTTGTGCCTGTTCCTAGATTGGGAGGCTCTTCAAACAGTCCCCTCATAGTGGGACTACTGTTATGTACTCCACATGGAGCTGTCCGTGGAGACCTCATGGAAGCTACAGCCAGTCCAGAATGCAGTGGAATGGGCAGATTTGGACATGCCTTGATATGCCCACGAGACACCTTTGGAGAAGGAACTTGGAGAGGAAATCATACAAAGACAATACTTCCTTAACTCACATTTTGTGGGGGGTTGTGTGGCTACTGTGTCTGCCAAGGAAGAGCCACAGCTTTTCTAAAGAGCTGTCAATAGGTTCAGCAAGTGTGCCTATATGAGACCTGAAGCACTTTTCCTGCTTCTGACCCAAATACTGCATTCATTTGTATGCTATTACCTCTGGTAATGAACATTTTCCAGTATGTTTTGCCAGGCACTTTCTTGCAAGAATTGTACTAGCTGATGGACGGTACTTGGGATTCTTCTTGAACATCTGCTTTATCAAATAGTGAAGTTCAAAATTATAATGTGATGGAAGTGGATTGTAGTATCCTTTACATATTTTAAGTATAAGATGTTTCCAACTGTTAGCCTGAAACTAAATTGAACAAATACATAAAAACAGACAGGTTAGTAGTATTAATATTGTTTATTAAAAACTCTACAAAAGTTCACATTATCTTTGGACCTTTCGTGTTAATGATTTAACAGCACATGATATACTGGAGGTGAGAATTCTGTCATCAGGAATGAAAGCAGTGCGACACAAACCAGTGATTCTCAGCTTGGGAAAACCATTTTATCTATATAACCCAGAAGCATCTCATAGCCTTAGGTATGAGGAAAAAGCCAGGAATTTTTAATTTTTAATTAAATTTAATTTAATGAGAGTCTTAATTTTTGGAGCACAGACCCATGCAGCATATAGGCTTTAAAAGCTGTTACTGCAGTTGGCAGATCTTTTCTGGCATATGATTTAATTCCTGTCTGCAATAAAAAAAGCAATCTAGATGTTTCAGATCTATGAGACTTCTGCTGAAAAACATGTTTCTGAATAAGGGATTTAGTGTCTGGAGAGTTAAGATTCCTTTTCATCTCTGATGTGAAGCCTGACACCTATGATATGCCATACTTTTTGCTTTTCAATGCTCCCTGCACATTTACTGGGTGGCCTATGGGGCTAATTATTAGAGTCATCACACCCGGCTGTATTACATTGTTCTTTACATTCTAATATGTATGTGCTAGGAAATTAAGTGTTACCCACTGGGAAAAATAAAACACAGGAATTGGATGAGTTCCTGGAAATAAAACGTAAGAAAGAATACTCACTGGATGTTTTAGGGTGCACAGCTCATATAAAACACATCCCAGAGACCAAATATCACTAAAAAGACAAATTTTAAGTATGTTAGTATGACATTTGCTAGAAATAAGTTACGGTTCCACCATTCTCAGCCAAAGTAATCATGCTAGCTACAGATGATGATAGTCCGACACAACTGGAGACAGAGGAAACCAAGGAAAAGTATTTATGAAGAAGAGTGCTGCATGAATGCAGAGAGTGTGGCTAGTGCATGCGTTAGCCCATGGAATTCCTTCTGAAATTAGGCATGTACTTATAGAAAGATTTGAGGTTACTAGAACCTGCCTCATATAGTCATCTTTTACATGGAATACAGTCCCTTTACTTACATTATTTACAGAATATTTTCTTTAAATATTCATGTTTTTAGTTCTATCAGTTATTCCTTACCACAGGCATACAAAAATAATACATATAGTCATCTTTTACATGGAATACAATCCCTTTACTTACATTATTTACAGAATATTTTCTTTAAATATTCATGTTTTTAGTTCTATCAGTTATTCCTTACCACAGGCATACAAAAATAATACATATAGTCATCTTTTACATGGAATACAGTCCCTTTACTTACATTATTTACAGAATATTTTCTTTAAATATTCATGTTTTTAGTTCTATCAGTTATTCCTTACCACAGGCATACAAAAATAATACTTGGTTTTGAATCACATTTGTAAACTGAGTAATTTTCTTCAAATTGTGAGTACACAATTTTTGCATTATTTCTCCAATATTACAGTTTTAAACTCAAGATTCTTGAAGACTTGGATTAATTCTTACCTTTTATTGTTGTATGGCATATTCTCCCAAATTTCTGGAGGCACATAATAAGGGGTTCCTACATATGAACAAGCATATGCCATGGGGCTAGTCCAAAAACAAATATAAATGTTAGGGATGAACAGGTGAATATTCCAACAGCAGCCAGCTATTACATTTTAAAAAAATATGTCAAAACAGACTTCTGGTCACAATTTGACATATACTTGCCTGTTAAGAAGAACTGCAGATCCAAAGTCTCCCAGTTTTATTTTCCCATTTTGTGTGAGAAATATATTCTAGATTATGAAACAGAAATAAGATATAGACCTCACCCTCTGTATTATAACTATCTGTATTTATAGCATCAGCCCTATTTAATGGCCTTGTTCACAGTATATACCATATTTAATTCCACGTCTAGTTTAACTCTTACAACACAGTGGCTACTGAGTAAGAACATTAATAAATTAATAAAATGAATGCATTTCATTGTTGTTGTTGTTATTATCCAAATGATAATCATGATGTCCCAGCTCAGCTTAAACAGAAATCTCCCCTTGTAAATCAGATACACATTAAAAGAATTAACTTATTTCAGATGGTGAGACTGACACAAATAGAATTCACATCATCTCTGTACTTAAGTCATTGGATAAAGCACACGCCACCATTTGACTGTGAGTTTGGACTCAAAACAACTGTAGAGACAGCCATTCAGGAGGCTGGAGGCACATTTATAATCTTGAGACCATGGACAAGTAGCATACTCAATGGATGGTTGCCTATTCTAGAATGTCTGCCAGAGTAGATATGGCCAGTAACAACACACTCATTTATCAGAAAGCAACCAGCTCTCCAAGACACTATTATTCCAATAGGAATTTTATGGGGCCCAAATCACCATGATATTAGTGGCCGGTGCCTTGCTATGCAGTATGAAAGCTACTGATTTATTTCAATTAAAATATTTTATTTAAGTCAAGTCAACAGGGAGCCCAGTGAGCATGAACAGAGCTGTTTTGGAGCATACCGGTACCATCTGTAATATGGCATGTCAGTGTTTTAATAAAAAAAAAGGAAAAGATAAATATTTGTACATAAAGTAATACTAAATCATTGAAATTTACAGAAGAGCTGCCTTTGTAGTTTTCAGCTTTCTAAACAGGAGAAGCCTGGTAGCAATTTTATAGTAAGAACCATTAAGGAGATTTCAGTCACCTTTGATTTGATGTCTCTGTGCAATATACGTTTCTCATGAATATATTTTACACCCAAACACATCTGTGCAAACCACTTAAGTATCTGTGGGAGAGACAAAACACAGCACATGGAAATGAACTGAATTGTGAAGGATATAAAAGAGCAAATACTCTACACAATGATGTGGATCAGTAGCAACACAATGTGAGAAATCAAGCAAGATATTTACATTTTAGTACTTTAAAATACTAAATTTGCACTAGTACCATGAATACTACTAATTCATTCCTTATTTCATATATAAACTAGATTAATCTCAAAGATTTTTTTATATTGAATTATTATGAGCTACTTGGGATATGTCTCTAGTAGCTTATAATAATCCAATATAATATATCCTTCTACAGAAAGGATACTTTAGTGCATCTAAAAAACGTTTAATTAAACCCTTCCTCAAGTCTGAAATCTAAAGAAAAGCATGTGGATACCATCTACAGCATGTAAAGTACATTTCCAGATTTTAAAGGATGAAAACAATCCTCCATCTTTTACAAATACAGGCATGCAGATTTATACTAATTTCAATGTACAAAAAACCAAAATCAAATAGTTTTGAAGTGATTTATTCTTTCTAACATTTATTTTTCAAAATGAAAGCAAAAAGTTATGAATTCTGCCTGAACGGCCACTGCTAATACAAAATATGACTTAATATTATATAAAGAAACACTATCACTGGCACTGTAGAAGGACAGACATATTTATCTGTGGTAGCCAAAATTCAGGAGGAGTTTGGAGCACTTTTCCCAACTAACAAATGTTATCTGATAAACTGAGCTGTGGCTCTCAAAAGCTTATGCCATTTAATAAAATTGATTAGTTGGAAAAGCTGGTACCAGACTTCTCCTGATTTTTTCAGTGGCACAATCTTTATAAGCTTATCCTTTTTACTTTGTACTTTAATTTCTTTGTACTTAGCTCCATTTTTAAAACAGTTTTCATCTACTGCTATGACTACAACAATAAATCAAGAGGTGTTAATAAAGGAGAGATTATTTCTCTAAAGCTTATGGACACCTCCTCTGACATTCATCAAAGTTCCTCATCTCAATTATTTAAAAATTTAAATATAGTATTTGGATTCTTACCATATCTTCAGGAAACAATTTCCCCTTCTGAAATTTAATCTTTTGAATGAGATCTCCATCATCACAATATTCCATCACGATATGCAAATGTCCATCAGCTAATGTTGAAATAATTTAAGATTCGTTAGTAGTATTACATCATATAAAATGTTACAAACAGTATACTGGATCAAGAAGATAACAAAGACATTTTCAATTCAGCAAACTGAATAATGCAATTATAACAACATGTAACATTAATTATTAAAACACACATATTTACCTTCAAAGGATTCTGCATACGTCACAATATTTGGATGTTTCATTTTAGCCAATATAATAGATTCATTCCAGGATTTTTCTATATTGAAGACAGACTAAAAATATATTACTTATAAGTATAAATAAATAACTCCTTTTTTATACACCTCTTACTATATTTTCTGCTTTTGCTTATCAAAGTGGCTTAATATTTATTAATATATCAAAATAATATTTTTTAAAAAATTTAAAAGCACCTTTCATAAGAAATTTATGGCTCTGAGGAGAAAAAAACACAGGAGAAATTAAACAGAGATAAGCTTTTGATAAAGAACACATAAAAATGTTATTTAACGAGACATTGCCATCAAAACAGAAAGAGAGGGAAAAAAGCAATTTCTTGAGGCAGCGAGGTCCTCCTACAGGGCACCACTAATGCAAAAGCCCTCTTATACTTTACCACCAGCCAAACCTCTGAAGGCAATGGGAATTGTTAGATGTGCATCAACTAATTATAAAGGCCTGGCAGATTCATCCAGAATGCACTCACATGACATAAATTATCTCATATGATTGGAAACATAGTTAATAACTTATCTGATGATCTGGCACCAGACAATCTAGGCAGCCATCTCAGGTAGCAACCCACTTAATGGAATTATCTTTGCTTGGAAGTACATATAACAACTTGCTTTTTAGAAGCAGGTCAAAAGAGTCCTAGTATTGTTCCTTTGGCCCAAGTTGATTGGAGATGTCATGATGCATTTAAGAGGAATTTGTCACATAACTGAGGTTTGTTTTATTTGGATTTCCCCCCCTCTGTTTTGTCCAGAGTCCTTTGGGATTGGGGGAGGCCAAAAATGCATATAATAAACAAGCAAACAAATACTCTAGCCTCTCACCTCTGTACTCAAGTTAATCCTCCCTTTTGGGTTCAGACAACATGAGGAGCCCTGGGTTAGGTGAGTTGCCTAACAACAACCCCTAGGGATCCTGGGATTGGTTTGGGCATGATCTTAAACCAGAAATTATTAGACTAGCTTGCTTCCATGGTCCCTGAAGATGGCATTCTCCAAGCAAAGTTGCATGGATGGAACTTACTCTTGTGGACCAGCAAATACTACTGGTGATTAGATGGTCCCACAGATATCCAGGTCCTTAGCCATAAAGGGTTTTAAAGATAACAACCAATACCTTGAATTGCTCCTGGAAACCAACTGACAAGTATTGCAATGCTCCAACTAGTGGTATTATATGGGTAAAAGTGGTATCCCTATAGAACTTAGGGAAGGAAGTAGTTACCTTGGGAAGTCTTATCTCTTTCATTGCATATTTCTGGCTTGTACTTTTATGCTGGACTAAAAGGACTCTACCAAATGATCCTTCCCCAAGTACCATTAGTACATTGTAATTCTCCATGATAATCAAAATGCTTTAATTTTTGCAGGTGTCTTCAGAAAGCTCAGCAAGTTCAATGTTTCCTTTCACCAGAATTTCCTATTAACAAGTATCAAAACAATAAAAGACATGTTAGATTATCAGTTCATCTTTATGCTATACTTCAGTTCTCTCTCTCCAACCTCAGTGCCAAAAGCTTTGCAAATTATTAAAATGTTTACATATTTATATGTATAACCAATAATTATCCAATTCAGCTATTTTTCCAGTCTGCTAAATGAAGAGCTTCGGATGATTAAAATAATGCAGGTCTCCTTATTTAACCCTACACTATTTGGTTTCCCTTGAAGGAGAAACTAGTGGAGGCTCATAATTGGTAGTAATTATTTGTCCTCAAATATATAAATGAAATATAATAGGAAATGACTCCTACACCACCAGCCAGAACAATCTCTAGGCATCAGATTCCCAAAGGACGCATAGACAGGTATTACAAGCTACAATAACATCAAAATCATGACATCATTGTGCAAAGAATACATTATTTTTATCAGTCATGTCCCAATATCTGGTGCAAGTACATCATTTGTCTGATGACATCATGTCACCATTTCCCTGCTTTAAACCCTCATGCAGATAACTATGTAAGGAACTTTCAGTTTTAGCCAACTTCAATCAATGATTCCAATTTCCCTTCTTGGCCAACATTCAACTTGCTTCTAAGGGTATCTCTGTTCCTTCCTCTAACTCTGATAGATCCGAAAGGCTGGAGGTAACTCCTTGGCCATTATACTTACGCTCAGCTACAATGATTAAACTGAGAAACTCATGTCAATCATGTCTACTGGCAAATAATATGAACAGGCAGGAAACTGCTTTACAGTTTTCACTCACTTTATTTTTACAAAAGAATGAAGAAAACCTAGGCAAAGATACACAAATGAATATAATTTTCATGCTGTGCTAAACCATGGTTTGCTAAATAGGCTATAACTGGCTGGGTTTGAGCCCAATGGGCTCAATCATAAACCATTATTTCCAAACCACAAGGCTGGGTTTATATATCTCTCTACTCCAAGAACAAGCAAATCCATGTTACGCTTTAGTCTGAACCAGGCCAGAGATTATATACAATTCAGCTTTGTTTTGAATTATTATCTTGGTTGCCACAATCAAACAAGAATGGACCAACAAATTATTAAGATGGCAGAGAAGGAATGAAGCATTCCATCCCTATTCAGCCAAATATTTCACATTTCTTACCTTAGTGCTCTTACTGGCAGATAATCCAACATCTCCTTTTCTGAACAAACTTCTTGTGATTTGGAAAAAAATGAAACCACTGCCCATGTACTGCTGTGTTGCAATTTCTACAGAAACATACGGAATTCACTTATTTCACCTCTTCTGCATCAGTATCCAGGACGAACAGACCCTGATTCTATTTTCTGATTACAGTATAACACTAGCATTATCAGCAGTGTAGCTAAATTGTGTATTGCTTCAATTAAAACATGCCATCAAATATTGTATTCCTGATTATTGTATTATTTCTATATGTTTTCTGTTTTCACTTTATTTTATTCTTTTCTTTTAATCTAGATCATTGATCATAATAAATATTTGCAAATTTACAAAACAGAGCTTAGTATGTTGTGTGAATATGGTATAGCCATTATTTTGTATTCTTCTCTTTCACTTTGTTTACAACATTACAGTTCCCACTCTTTTCTGCAGTCAGTAAAAGTTAATGTTATATATGCATGTATGTATGTGTTTGTGTTGTGCCCTTTTTCTGTGAGCAGCCCTTTTTTATTCCCACAACAACCACTCTGTGAGATGGGTCAGCCTCAGTGAGTGACTAGCCCAAAGTCACTCTAGGACCTCTGTGGCTGAGTGGGGACATGAACCTGGGCCCCCCAATTTAAGTTCAATACTGTATCTTACCCCCTACTACACCATGCAGATTTCAAGAGTATTTCTATGCCAGTAGTAGTAGTAGTAGTAATAATAATAATACTATGAAGAACTACCCCCCTTGGAAGCAGAACCGGTAGGGCATAGTCATAGTCATGCAAATAAATAGTTGCAATATGACAATTAATTTTTACAAAGAATTCCACAGTTCTTTTCCTTCTCTTCTACAGTGATATTAGGGTTTTTAAAAATCTGACTTATATCTATCATTCATTCAGGAGAATGCAACTACACTGACAAAAATATTAAACAGAATAGTAAACGTTCACATTAGACATAGTTTTTCTTTCAGAATATTCTTCCATAGAGCTAAAGATTCAGTTTTTTTTTTTTTCTTGCAGCTTCTACTCCTTAGTGAATGGGAATGAGATGCACGGTCTGGTTTAAAAAAAAAAAAATCAAACACCTCGCGTTCCTACTATCTGTGGGAATCAACCCAAGAGGTGCAGTAGGGCTTTTGATTTTCTTCGAATAAGCTACAAGAGCAGGGAGTCTAGAGACTATCATTAATAGCGTTATTCAGTTTTAGTAAGAAACACATCGGCCCTGAATGTCTTCGCCGGCTTTGGAGGCAAAGGACACGAACTTTTCCAACGCCATCTTTCAGGCACGAGAGGCCGGCGGGTGAACATCGTAAAGGGACCTCAAATCAATGTCTACCCAGCCTGTCATTCCCATCCCACATGCAGCAAAGCCAGCGCGGCGAAGCCAGCTCAGCCGGGGGGAGAAAGAGCAGCTTCTTTCTTCCCCATTTTCTTCTGAGCGAGGGAGAGCCGTAAAGTAAGGATCCCCTTCCTACGACAGGACTTTGGATGCACGCAACCCGCACGCAACGGCCCTCTCGCTTACGACGCCCGCGGCTCACCTACCGAGACCTTGCAAATTCTGGCCGAGCGGGACTTCCCGAGCCCAGGGCAGCGGCCCCAGCACAGGGCGGTGGGTGGAGACAGTGGTTCCGAAGGGCGTGGCCTCCATTGCAAGCACAAAGGTTTCTTCTGCGGGGTGGAAGGTCGCCGGTAGAAGCTAGATTTCTAGTTTCCTCCGAGCAGGTTTTCTTCCAGGCATTCCTTTGGAAATTACTTTGATAACTGGCTTCTTGGGAAACTCGTGAGCTAGACTGTGGTGTGGCAATGGAGGTTGGGCCCGGAGCCTGTTTCAGAGATAGCGAGATCAAGCGCTGGGATTAAAAATGGGTACTCTATGTCTAAACCACCCACCCACCCCCGGCAATCCTGTCGTGGTGCTTCATGTGGCTGATGGTGGGCAGGTTTCTGGAGAAGACCACCTGGAGTCTGTGCTAAGAGTATATATTCCCAGCAGGTCACCCATGACATGAAAGGCTGCCCAGTTAAAGCAAGCAGGCACCTGTATTGGGCAGCAGTGATATAGGAAGATGCTGGAGGAGGAAGATCATTTTAGTGATGATGACAAAGGCATAATTTCATACTGTGCGAGAGGAGGCAGTGATTTTACTAAGAAAATAATATGGATAGACAAAATAAAGTGGTTGACAATGTGGGGCCAGATGATGGGCCTTGCAGGTCAGATAACACTCAGCATGCAACTGAGGAAGAGCTGAGGATCTTTTGGAGCAGTAATGGTGTTTATGGCATGGCTAGATTAAAGCCCTCAGGATGTCTCCTTGTTGATGTTGCCATGCAGGAAAAGAGCATCAAAGCTACAAAGGCAAAATTACAGTGGGAACGTGGAATGTAAGAAACATGAACACGGGAAAGCTCAACGCAGTGGAGGATTATGACTACACATTGAATCTTAGGCATCAGTAAATTGAAATGGTGTGGAATCAGGCACTTTCAGTTAGAATATCATACAGTTTACTATTCAGGACATGAAAAACAAAGGAATGGTTACAATGCAGTCAATGCCCAAATAATATCAATTAGACTTTGCAGACAACCCTTTAATACGAAGGTTATCCAAGTTTGTATAATTCTCAGACCCTGGGAACTATCTGGTCAAGGTCTGGTCTCATAGCCTCGGTGCCATGGAAACAGAGTCATAAGGTTTCAGTGCTAGAATTTGATAAAAGCCCTGGTGTTGCCCCTTGAGTTTTGGAGCAGGGACACGGGCCTTGGTAGCAAGAGCTGTGTTATCTAAGCCATCTTGGGGTCTCTCCACTGTCACCTTATGGTAACTCCCGAGAGTAGGAGAAGAGTTTTTATCACCTTGCTTGGTACGTTATGCTTAGCGTGCTATGCTTTTGTATTCCATGCCTTTGTATTTCTGTTTATATCTGTCTGCTAGAGCTAACAATAAAGTTTAAAATCTCCTCACCTGCTGGTGTGTTCATTGCCTCTGGATCTAAAAGAACCGCTTGTCTTGCACCTGGTAGTGCTTGGCAAAACAGTGCGGAGAATGGCATTTGGATTTTTTCCCCCAGTTCCATTACTGACAGCCGCCATATAAGGCATGTATATTGTCTTATGCCTAATTAAATGTTTTGTGTCTGTATGCTCAAGGCTAATCAGTGTGTGTGCTTGCTGTTATTGCCTGTTGGCATGTGTATATCTCTGAGGGCCTAATCTTGAGGAAGGCGTATCTGTTGCTTCCAGGGCTGTATATAATTTCTGCTTTCCCTTTCTGTTGCATTTGTATGTATTGTGGACGCTGGGAAGCATAGGGCAGGCTGCATGCGCTCATCGCTGCATTGTGTGACCAGGAGGGTGGGGAAAAACAAAAGAAAGAGTTCAGCAGGGGGCTATGGCGAAAGGCATCCAGAAAAACATAATACCCCCAATGCATACCAAGCGGAGAGGTGGTAGGGCAGGGTCCGTGCACGGTCAACTACTGTGTTCTGAACCCCGCCCCCTTACTAGTCATGTGACCCAGAGTGCAGCGCTATTAAGCAGTTGAAAAGAATTCTGGACCTCGTGTTGTGCATACTTTTCCTGCCTTGCTTTAAGTTTATAGCTTAGCCCACAGTCCTGGGATGTCCTTATAGCCTCCCTCCCAATACTTACCCTGTTTAGCTTCTGGGGATCTGACCAGATTGGTTAGGTGTGCAAATTCCTCAAGACAGCAGGCTTTCTAAGATACTAGAGTAAGAGGTGAAAGATACTAGAGTAAGAGAGGTGAATATATTTTACATTTATACCTGTACCAAGGAAAGTCAGAAGCTACTTTTTCTATGCCTTTTCTTTATTGATTTTTTCTTTCCTTTTTTCTTTCCTTTTTTGACCTTGCATTTTAACCTTTTGGAAATTTAATAAAATTTATTTAAAAAGACAGACGACTTTCTGGATTACTGGGTGTAACATCAAATTAGAAGACATCAGGTAACACATTTTCTGACTAACACATTTTATTAAAAGACATAAGCTTTCATAAAGCATCTGTAAAAATGAGCAATATGTAGCTCTCCAGATATGTGGAACAATTCCTATCAACTGTAGCCATAGGGTGAGTTAAAAACAGTTGAACAACCTGAAATTGACCAATTCTAATCTTTAGCTTCATGTTCATATGCACGAAGGTAGCCTAAACATGTTAAACTTGATTTCTAGTGCTGAGATTGATTCATCAATTCAATTTCCATTTTTAATATTTCCCACTGTGGCTATTCAATATTCTTTGAATGGGAATTTCCCTTTTTAATGCAATATGCCAGGGAAAGAATGTAGGATGTCTCACAAAAAAGAGACAAGTTGGGCTGCTCTATTACACTGTCCTCTTCAACAAAAAATTAACAGATAAGCCATTTCCTTCTGTGGAAAAAGTAAGTACATCCTTGGCTCTAATACCTGGTATTACTCCCTTTGGCAGAAACAACCTCAAGGAGGTGTTTCTTATAATTGTCTACCAGTCTCTGACATTGGAAGGACTTTTTTCCCCGCTCCTCCATGCAGAATTTTTTTCAAGTGTGCAACATTTGAGGTTTTTTTCAAATCACCTCACTGCATCTAGATGGGATTTAGATCCAGGCTTTGACTTGGCCATTCCAGAACCCTCAATTTTTCTTCCAGTCATTCCTTGATGGTTTTACTGAAATGTTTAGGGTCATAGTCATGTTGCAAGGTCCACTTTTGGCTGAGCTTCAGTATTCTGACAGATGGTCTCACAATTTCCTCAAACACCCTCTGGTACAATGAAGAATTCATAGTGGATTCTATGATGGACAACCGCCCAGGCCCTGATGCAGCAAAAGAGCCCCAAACCATAACATTTCTACCACCATGCTTTTCAGTTGGTATCAGGTTCTGGTGAAATGGTTTTCACCAAGCATGTGTTCTGGTACCATGGCCAAATAACTTTTCTTTACCTTGTCTGAGCACAATGTTCCAGAGGCCCTGGTCTTTGCATAGGTGTTCATGAGCAAATTTTAGTCTTGCCCTGATGCTCTTTCTGGATAGCAAAGTTTCCTTCCAGGCATGTGAATCTAATTTGTGCAGCTTCTACTGGAAAACTCATGCATTTTGCCATCAATAGTGGTGAGAGCTACCTGTAGGACCCATGATAAAAATCTGGGGTTTTTAAGAGACTTCTTTCAGCATCTTACAATCTGCTCTTGAGCTGAAGTTGTTGGGGCAGCCTGACCTGGGCACGTTGGCAGTTGTTTGAAATATTTTCCACTTGTAGATAATCTTCCAGACAGTGGAACTATTGACATCCAATTGTTTGGCAAACTTTTTAAATCCCTTCCCAGACTCATAGGCATCTATAACCTCCTTTCTGAAGGCCTCAGAAAGCTCTTTCAGTTTGGCATGGTGATACCACACACTTCAACAACAAAGAGCAAATCTAACTAAATGTCTGTCTAAACGGACTACAAAATGTAAATGGTGTGTTGTTATATTTATAAAGGATAGATACCCTTTATAAATATTGTTGAAATGAAGAGCAAATATCTGCTGAAGTATATTGAAAGTCAAAAATTTCAGTGGTGTGTGCTTACTTTTTCACATGACCATATATTTCACATGTAACTTCTGTTAGCTGCCTAGCGTCCTTTTAGTTTCAGTTGATAGACAAATCTCAAATAACTCGATCAATGTATAAATGATCTGGGGCTGTAAATGTGTATAAGCTTAAAGTGCCCTTGAGTCAAAATCCTACAGACTGTATGCAGTTCATTGAGCAACAGTATGAAAATGGATTGCCATTACCTTCAGTCATCTTCATGGATTATAGCTGGCTTAAACTGTTAGTCCTAATATCCTTAACAGGCACCCATATATTTTCAGTCATTAGCATGTTACCTTCCAACCACTGAATTACAGACCTCTATTTACGAATAGGTTACGTTCCAAGAGGTTGTTCGTAAGTCCGTTTTGTTTGCAAGTCCAATAAGCATAAACAACATGTCTTACCTTACATAAGTTAGCACTTGTGGCAATGGCGTAAGGCTTGTCCTCCAAGTTGAAACGGCACGTTTTTCCACCTTCCTGAAGAAGCGGTCCAGTGAACTTTGGGCGATGGCCTTCCTCTTTTTCTCATAAATGATGCTGTAGCATTGGCTTCCATCATGGACAGCTGCAGATACTTTGGTGGAGCGCTTGACGTTAGGGTCCTGCACCTCAAAGATAGTGCTTTCTCAATCAAGCTGAACCCCTCCGCCATCAGCTTGATCTGGAACTGCTTCAGTGATCCAATCTCTTCCTCTTTGTTTTTGCTGCTTTTCCAACTCCATGAGGTCTTCATTGGAGAGGTCTTCCATGTGTGCAACTAGCAGGTCATCAAAGTCCTCCTCTTCCAGGTCCAGCTGAAGCTCCTTGCTCAGGGCAACCAAGTTGCTGACAATGAGCTATGGCTCCCTTTCCACCGCCTCAAACCCACAAAAGTCATGAACAAACTGAGGGTGTAGATGCTTCCACACTCTGTTCATGTTGGCAGGAGTAACCTCACATCAGGCTGTATTGATGTTCTTGATAGCCTTGTAGATGTCATAGGACTTCCACAACTGGTGCAAGGACATCTGGGGGTCTGCTTTGGTTGCCTGGACTGGCTGCCTAAACATGTGAAGATATTTTTTGAAGGTTGCTATCACTCCCTGGTCCATCAGCTGGAGGGAAGTGGTGTTGGGAGGCAGATATACAACCTTCACATTCGGATGGAAGTCGTCCAGGTAAGGTGGAAGACCCAGGGCATTATCCAATATGAGCAGAATCTTGAAGTCCATGTTTTTCTTGCAGCAGTACCTCTCCACTTCTGGGATGAAATGGTGGAAAGACCAGTCTTCAAACATGAGAAGGGTGACCTAAGTTTTCTTGTTAGCCTTCCACACAACAGGAAGTGAGCTCTCTGAGATGTTCTTCAGAGCTTGTGGGTTCTCAGAGTGGTAGACTAGCAGTGGTTTTAGGCTGAGGTCACCAGAAGTGTTGCCTCCAGCAGCAGTTAGCCTATCCTTTGCAGTTTTGAAGCTTGGCATCATCTTCTCCTCCTTGCTGATGTATATTCTCTCTGGCATTTTCTTCCAGTAAAGCCCCGTTTCATCCACATTTAATATTTGCTAGGGCAAATAACCATCTTCCTCAGAGATCTCCTTGAGGGTTTCCAGGAACTCATTGGCTGCAGCCTCATCCGCACTCACCACCTCACCACATTAACATTATGAAGGTTCACATGAGCCTTGCGTTGGAACCACCCATGATTTGCACCTAACACCTCTTCAGCAGCAGCACCACCAGCCTTCTGTTGTAAATCATGGAATAAGTTCTTAGCCTAACGCTGATCCAGGAGACCAAGTGGCAGACACCACAGATGATCTTTGATCCACACGCCAAGCAGTGTCTCCATCTCTTCCATCACTTTTCCTCTTATTGTGGATTGCATAGGCATTGAACTTTTCATGTTGTGATCTTGTCTTTGTTCTTCGTTCCAATTGTGTAATGATTCATGCCATAGGAATGTGCCACATTCACCATCATCTCCCCCATTTCCTTCAACATTTCCCTCTTCATTAGCATCGTAATGGATTGGTGCTTCTTCATACTACCCCCCCCCTTTAGCGCTCTTGTGCTTAATTGCAGACATTTGCAGTTACCACACAGCGCTAAAGATGTGAGGACCGAAAGTCACAAGAAGTCAGGAGGCAGGAAAGGGTTAGTTTGTGGTGCACCGGAAACTAACCCTTTTCCACCCTCTCCCGACTTCTGGTTCCATCTTGTATCAGTGAAAGTTGGCAACTTGAAAGTTTGTAAGTAGGGGACTGTCTGTATTTAACTCTTTTCAGAAGAACTCCATTCATAAAACTGGCATTTTACACAATCTTCTCAAAGTTGTTAATGTTCTTTATTTCAGTCTCTCTGCCCACCCAAACATACAACAAACATGCATACATATATATCAAGAGATCATATATAACTTAGCCATGTTTTGACAAAGAAGTTTTAAACGTTTACAAGACCAACAGTTAAACTCAGTTATATAAGAAATACACACTGAAATTATTAGCAAATAGGATTAGTAACTATTGCCAATATTTGTAAAGATTTACCTTCAGATCTACAAATTAGATACAACACTCCCGTGTTCCTTGCTCACAAAGTTCAACTTAGTTAAATGCTAACATTTCTTAAGATTAGGTTAGTGTTGCCAGTGGTTAAGACTGATATAAATGTAATTCTTTCACATGGTTAAAGCATAGGTATCCTTCCCATATGTTACATATCCATTATCAGCAAAACTAAATTAAAAGTTATAGTTAAACTGTGGCAACATAACTCTGCACTGAATTAAAGGACTTCAGCTTAAATAAAATCATGTATTATCACTCAGTTTTGCTCATGTTGACAGAGAGAGACTGTTTGCAATGCATTGTTTGGTCTGTAGATGAAACCAGTGACTTCATCTCCCAATTCTCCAAGCTGTTCAAGCGAAGAAACACAAGGGCTATGATCTTTCAGCATACTTGGTAACTTATTTGCTTTTTCATGGATGCGGCAAGACCGTCTCACAGGTGTTAGGAATTTCAGATCTTTAATAGTAGAATCATCACACTGCAGTTTTTTCTTTGTGCTTGAGGTCAAAAAGAGAAACCATTTATTTACAGAATTAGAACGCAGTAATTCAGTGTGGCTTGGCAAATATATGAATAAAAATACAAATATTAATTTAGTGTTGAATATTTGACTGTTGTAAGGAAAATACTTTCTCTATATACTTATTATAGCCATTTATGATTTTAGAAACATAAAATTATGCCAGTTTAAAGGACTGTGATAATTTTGACTGCCATAGCTAGTTTAGAGTATCTCAAGGTTTCTGTTTTTTGGCCAAAATTACAAGTTTTATTCACTGTTGTTATAGACTTTTCAATAATATATATCCAAATGGTTTCTTTTTAGTACCTCTAAAAAGTAAATGGAAATGGATTCAGTGCTTTGTTATTAATTTGCTGGAAATATGATTTATGGAGTTTACAGCTGGTTTATGTTATAATTTGTAAGCCCTAATTTATGACATAGCACCATATGTGAACCCTTCCATTTTAGATTAATGAATGTGAAATGCTTTGGATATTATAAATATGCTACATTAGTACTAAACTAGCATTATCACTAGTATAAAATATTTATACATGGCTTCTGGACATCTAATAGCAAGAGATTATTTGTTTGACAATGTACACTATTGTCCAGCAAGCCTAAAGGGAGGATAGATATGGCTAATATGGTTGAGAGTTTGGTGGAAATCTTTTACAAGTATGTCACATTAAATTCAAATAGATTATTCCCCATGTATAGCTGCCTTTTTTCAAGATCTCCAGGTGTACTAAACTAGAATCACTGATTATCCTGACTAAAAATTGTTATCCTGTGGTTTTATTTTTTATTGTTGGTTCTTTTATATAGCTATGTAGTTTCCCCTTCTTTTATTGATTATATTACGATGACATTGTTAGCCATCTAGACCCTTTGGGAGTGGGCAGCATACAAAGATAGTAAATTAAAAAATAATGTGATCTGTATTCCAACACATTTGGAAAGCACCAGGATGGGGAAAGTCAGCACAAAAGATTCTGGAAATTATATACTGTATGAAAACACAGCACTGGAGAAGAATCAATACTTAAGAGTATGGGAGAGGCAGCAACAATATTGGTGCTAATGCTTTTTTAGACAGTCTCTGTATTGACAGTTTAAGACCAGTGACTATATCTTTCTTGAGACTACTGTCTTGGAACTGCAAGTCAGCAAAGAGCTGCGGCAAGTATCTATGAAGTCTCAAGCTTTGATAAATAATCATTCTGCTTTCTTCCACCACCCACCACCCCACCCAGTGTAGCAACAAGCCAAAGATCTTAGTGGGAAAACCAGACTTGTTTTGCATCATTATACCATAGTATATAACAAGGGCTAAATGCTGTCACTGACTTACAGTTGAAGAACAAATGCTGTTCTTCTGAAGATGGTAGATTATAACTAAGAACCTAAGGCAAATAGGTAAGCCTCAGCAAGGGTTTTTATCTGCAATTTTCACTGATTTAGAATTCCTGTAGTTGTTTCCAGCTATTACTTTTCTTCTCAATCAAAAATTTGAGATTAAAAATATTTTTCTAACAAAGTCAACTGAAATTGGTCAGGTTGTTTCCCCAAATTCTTAGATGTTATCTACACAAACTGAGCAGGATAACATGTTTTTATTAGATTAAGTACAGCAACTCCATATCCTCAGACACTACATGGAAGGGACCATATTAAGACTCACCTTTCCAAATGGGAAGTGGTTGACAAATTATATTTTATTAAATATGAACTCTTTTCATTTTCAGGAGTTTCAATCTCTAAGATTCCATCTTTCTCTGTATTGGTACCAGCTTGTTCATTTTTCAAGTCTATAGGTTTCTGCTTCTGTTCTTTATTTCTGTTCTTTTTTTTCTTAGAAAAGCCTTGTTTGGTTTTTGAGCAAACTTCTGTTGATTCTTGAGAGGCCTCATTACTATACTCCACCTCATTATTCAAAGTGACTTCCTTGAAAGCCTCTTCTGTCTCTGTTTCAGCTACTGTTCCCTCATGATTTACAGTATTTTCTTCCTTCACACATTTTTCTGAAAAAATACAAATATATTCTGTCATAATGTAAGGCAACGCAGAATGTATACTGTTAAAAGAAATTCAAGTTACTAAAGATGGATGACAAATATATATATATACAGGGAGAACATGAAGATTTGAAGAAACAAACCAATAGTGTTAAATCTTACCATCAGATTTTGGTGGATCTCTTCTAGCCTTTACAACATCCACAAACGTATGACGTAACTCATCCTTAGGCTGAAGAAAACATTTTTATTAATTTCCAGTTAGGTAATTAGCCAGAATGTTATCAGTGATCAGTACTCAAAACTGGAGAGATTCAGGATAAAATTTCCTCAAAATAAAAAGTTTACTGTAACTTTAGGCCTGTAACTGCCTCATAAGATTGAAGTAACAGCAGAAGAAATGGGTTGGAGAACCAACTATATCAACCAGGTCCCTTTAAATAAACAGTAGAATGTTTCTATTTAATTTAAGCAGTTAAAATATGAGAAAGTTTATAAATCTATAAAAAAATCTATAAATCTCTCACTAGCAAAGCAATTGAAGTTAAAATTAAATCCTGATATTTTAGTGAAACAGATTTAGGGGTGTTTACCTGTGCTCCTGCAAGAATTGCCTTTTCATAGATGCCGATTACTTTTTCCATGGAGCAAAACTGTTCAAGACGCATCTGGCACACCCAGTACTTAGCAAACTTTTTTGCATCTGGCACTGTCGCTATCAGCTTTTCCAAAGTGGAATGTACTGTTTCACCTACACAGCCCTGAAGAGAAATAGCAAGGAGAAAAATGTACTGAATTTCCTTAAATTGTACGAATTCTAGAGAAATGGCCATGTTACTATGTTGCAGTACATCCAGACTAATGCATAAGCTTCTGTGAACTAGTTTACATTTTTGTAATCCAGAGTAGAATGACTGGCCCTTTATTTAACACAAAACTTCAAAGAATCTTCTCTGTGTTCCACAATGCACTTTAAAATGCAGTAATTCAGCCTATTTTTCTCTTCAGGACAGATCTGATTATTCTAGTTACAATAGAAAAATAACGTTCAAGATTTTGTCATTGAGTAGCCTACCAACTCTTCTCACACTGATCCATTCCAAGGCAAGTTGTCTTGAAATTCCAATATGGCTTGCATTTCCAGAGTATATAAAATTGAATACAAAAACATTATATATGAAGTTAATTCATCATTATAGTGGTTTATTAATTGTCTTACCTTTTCGATGAGGTGCAGACATTCTGCAAGTGTCTTATTGACCCTATCGCTGAATAGTCCTTGTTCATCTTCTTCAACTATGGTAGCCCAGAAAGATTCAACTGGCTCTTTTATAGTTTGCTGACATGTTGCTGTTTTAGGCTGGCTATTTACAGGTATGGAATGAGGTAGCTTCTTTACCCCTTTTGAAGCCTGCCATTCAGCTAGCTGAGCTCTGAAAGATAAACATATAACTTAATTAGCACTTCATTTTACTCTCTAGCTGGGAAGAGAAACAGATCAGGTAACAGCTACCCAGTCATCTAGCCACTGTGAAATTGGAATGTCTGTTGATACTCAACTCCTTATATCTATCCCTAATTAAATAAGTTTATATTGCAAAAGAGATAATCAACTATTAAATACAGTTAAGATTCAAAATTATAATTACAAGTCATGATTGTCAGAAAAAAGTGCAAAGGTAATTGCTAATTGCAGCCACCTGAGCTAGACTGAAAAGCCAGAATTTCCTGTATCTTTGTGCCATCTAGTGGTCAGCTGGACAGTTGCAACTCAGATCTAATAGCCCTACCAAAAATAAACACTCCCAATGAAAACAGGTATGCGATACTAGCCTAGGTGAAAGAAATTTGATTTATCATGAGGGTGAGGGTGAGTGGGAAGCACACAATTGAAAATTTATCTTCTGTAATAACAGATGTAAAAGTATCCTGCTTTCAAGCCCCAAACCTCAGTATGTGCAACTGCCTTAAATTGCTGATTATTCAAGACTAATTTTAATCACTTTAAAAATCGGAGAGTCCAAAATATGAACATCATGTAATGGTGGGGGTACAAGGGTTTATTTTCTCTTTCATGCACTCAGGCTGAGTTTCTGTAATACATTCACCCATAAAGCAATTTGCTTGGTTTTGGCTTACTGTGCTGATCAAACCCAGCTAAATGTGATTTATTCAATAAACCGTTAAGCAAGCCACAGCTTGGTATACTGTATAAATGCATCCATTCACACAAAAGCCTATTTTTAAACCACTATGCGGAAATACTCTGAAAAATTCCAACTGCTTTTTAATGTTGCATTGTCTCAATATATTTTGAAACAAAAAATGCAGGCATTTATATTACCTTCTCACATCTGCAGATGTTTTTGGAACTTTGTTGTTGTCAATTGATTTTGAAGCTGACATAGTAGCATGACTTTCAGAAACTGGTGCTTTTAGGCTTCCTGTTACAGTTCTAGATGGAGCAAGTGTCTTTGTCCTCTGGACAGAATTATTAGCATTGGCTGGAACAGTCTTTAATAGTGGTTTCCAGTTCCTGTTTCTGTGGGCTGCCCCATTATTCTCTGACACACCAGCGAGGGATTGTTTCTCATGATTCAGAATAGTTTTGGGATGGTAAACAGAAACTCTTACAGTTCTGGCTTGGAAAGGGGTAGAATTTAGAAGCTTAGGAGCACCAGTGCTGCTAGTGAATTTAGCATCCCTTGTGCTTGTACTATTAGTTGTGGATCCTGTCTTTACTCTTGATTTAAACAAATCACTTGGAGAATTTTTTCTAGCCTCATTTGTTGGGAGCTTCCAGAAGGAGTTTACCTTAGAAGAGACTATTTTGCCACGATATGAGCCAAGTATGTGTTTTTCCGAAATGTGTGGCACAGAGTTGGGGACATCTGGTTTTATCTGTTTTTTTGTGTTTGTTTTCTGTAAAAAGGTCTGAGTTAGTGACATAACCCTGGATTTTACTGCAGCAGATTCAGGATCTCCTCCTGCAGTATCGTTTAGAGAATTACAATTTGCACCTGGCATAATTTGTTTTAATACAGCACAGGAATTTAAAATTTTAGGGGAAACAAAAGTGTTTTCGAATGTACTGTCCACTTCATTCCGTAGAAATCTGTTAGCATTTTCTTTGTTTTCCTGAAAAAAATTAACATAGCATTAATTAACATTAACACTTTGCTCTAAAACACTTTTTAAAGGAAGAGTGGCATGGGACACAGGACATCTTAACAAGAAACAGGTATATACACTCATTCAATGTAATGCATTTTTTTTTGCACTTTCCTCAAATTATAACATATTAGAAAGCTATAATATCAGGACATTGGAAAAGCCAGTCACAATAGTAGTTTCACAATTTTTTGCTTGACTTTTACATTCACTGCATAGACACAGTTGAAGAAACTTTAACATGCAAGAACACTGCCTGGCTTATACAGTATTTAAAAATCCTTCCCAATATTTCATATAATTTTTGCTTAGCAGTTTCTCAAACACAGAAATTCCCTTCTCCTGTCTCTTAATTGCAATATAAATCTGACTTCAGCTCCAAACTTAAGATAATATCAGTGTTATCTTTTAGGACTTACCATTTTTATGTTGTTGACAGAATGCAGTTTTCCAACTTTCCTGGATTACCTATATAGAAAAAATAAAACCACTTGCACCTTTCTTTAGTATAAAGTCTCATGTACACAATAAAAGTTCAAATGTGGCAATTTTATACATATTGTTTGCTGGTGTTTCTTCTGGAAAGATTGCAGAATATACAGGCAATAGTTATACCAGACAAACCCACTTGAGTTGCATGAAATAACCTACGAGATAAATTTCTCAAGTGCCTTATACCTCAGTGAAAGCAAGCGGAGGAGGGAAGAAATCCGGCTCTAGACATGTCCTCAGAAAAATCAAATCATAACCACCCAAGCGCCCAGCAACCGTCCCCCAAAGACCCCTTTTCGAATCGACGGCAACCAACCCCAATAGAGTGGAAACGTTGTCTCTCCACTACACCCAAATTAAACTTGCTTTTGTTCAAGTTTTTAAAAATTGAACCCCATCCGACCACTTCTCGGCGTTTACCCACCTGCCCGCCTTGCAAGGAAAAGATTCACCCGCAAAAGCACCACAGCCGATACCCACACGTCCACCGCCGCTGCCCGTTTGAATTTAATCACGCGCCAGGTCGTCACGTGGCCAGCATGACCTTGCCGATTGGTGCAGCCCCGGGACTTGAAATTAGCCAATCAGGCACAAGAAGATATTATTTGGCGAAAAGCTCGGTATGATCCTTCTCTCCAGCAGCCTCCTTGGTTCTTTTGAAAAATGCGTGCGGGTTGCTGTGAAATTTTTTTCTTCGAGGATAACAATCCAAATTGTATAATACACTTTATGCATGTAAAGCTCTGTGTCTGTCACATCCTGGTCCCACCTCACCTTTTTGTATTTGGAACGAATGCATGCTCCAGAAGTTCACTTTATATTGTTTATGAAGATTCTCAGTCATCCAGGTGGAATTGTCTGGAGGTTGAGTCACGGAAGCTGGACTTCTTTTCCTTTTGGTAGAGACGTTTCGCTACTTGTCCAAGCTGACAAGAAGAAGCTGAAGAAGCTGCTTGGACAAGTAGTAAAGCGTCTCTACCAGAAGGAAAAGAAGTCCAGTTGCCATGACTCAATTTCCAGACTTCACTTTATATTGTAGCACAGCTGTGTCCAGGTTCATTTCCCATCTCTTTATTTTTGGAGGGAGGGAGGAAGGAAAGAAGGAAGTTGGAGCTTTGAAAAGGGGGATGTTATTGTTCCACCAGTTTAGAAGGAGTTGTTTCTTTTATAAGTAGAGATTTATAAGTCCCATTAAATTCCATGACTCTTATTTTAAACAAACTTAGGTTGTTCAAAGGTTACTCCACTACACAGTGTGGTGGGAATGGGGAAGGGATTCTTGAGATGTTTTAGAGAAAGCCAGTTTGGTCTAGTGGTTAAGGCACCAGGCTAAACCAGGAGACTCAGATCTAGCCCTCCCTTAGGCATGAAAGCCGGCTGGGTGACTTTGGGCCCATCACACTCTCTCAGTTCACCTCACAGTGTTGTTGTGGGAAAAATTGAGCTATTTATAAAAATAATAAAGGTGGGATAACAAAATCTTTAAAAAAAAAAAGGTTAATATCCACAGATCCACATTACTTCCATGAATCAGTCCAAATTTTTTTTGAAGCTGGCCACGCTGATAGCCAGCTCCACATCTCACAGTAGTGAATTCCAAAGTTTAATTTATGTATTGTGTAAAAAACAAAAACAACCCTTTTGTCTAACCTGATTCTTCCATGAATCAATTTAACTGGATGACCTCTGCTTCTAGTATTTTGGGAAAGGGAAGATAGCTTCTCTTTGCTCACTTTATCTACCCCATGCATAAATGTGTACACCTCAAACATGTTCCCTCTCATTTGCCTCCTTTCTAGACTAAAAAGACCCAAGTCTCATAACCCTTCCTCACAGGGAAACTGCTCAAGCCCTTTCATCATCTTTTCTGAACTTTCTCTAGCTCTGCTATATCCTTTTTGGGATGCAGCAATCAAAACTATACACAATATTCCAGTTGCAATATTGATTTATATACAGTAAGGGCATTATGATATTGGCATCTCTATCATTTATTATCTCTAACATGCTGTTATCCTTTTCTACAGCACATGCACACTGTGTCAACACCTTCATTGAACTGTTTACCATTACTTCAAGATTTCTTTCCTCATCAGTCACTGCTAGCTTTGATCCCATTAGTTTGTATAAGTAGTTAGGATTTTTGGCACTAACATGCATCACTTTACACTTGCTCACATTGAATGACATCTGCCATTTTGACACCCACTCCCCTAATGTTCAGAGTTCCTTATTGTTTATATCACTCTGAACAATTTAGTGTCATCAGCAAACTTAGCTATTCCACTAGTTACATCCGATTCCAGATCATTTATAGTTATATTAAAAAGCACTGGTCCTAGAACAGAACCACAAGGGACCTCACTAGTTACATTCCTCCATTGTGAGAAATTTTCATTTACTCCTACTCTTTGTTTTCTATTCTTTAGCCAGTTGTTTATCCACAGGAGGACGTACCCTTTTACTCCATGTTTTTTAAGCTTACTGAGAAGTCTGTGATGAGGAGTTTATCAAAGGTCTTTGGAAAATCAAAGTAGATGATGTCTACTAGCTCACCCTTATTAACATGTTTATTAACACCCTCAAAAAACTCTAGTACTGTAGATTAATTAGACAGGAACTTCTGGCCATTTGGAACTCATGGTAGGCAAGCTTTCCAGGGATTTGGGATTTTGCTGCTTTGTGCCTGTGCTTGCACGCACACTCTGCCTGCTGCTGCCTGCATTTGCTAAATCATAAGTAAAGCTTCTTGCAAGCTGCTCCTTGGTGTATGTGCCTGTCTGGCCTCGAACAGAACACCCCCAGATAGGACCATCCACTCAGGAAGGAGCCAAACTCTCACAGAACAGTACCCAAACTCCCAACCATTCCAGGCAAACCAGAAGGATATAATGGTTGATGGTATTGAAGACTGCCAAAAGATCTAGCAGGATTCATATCATTGCACTCCCTCCATGTAAGTCCCACCATAGGTCATCAATGAGTGCAATTTCTGACTATGTCTGGGCCTGAAACCTGACCGAAAAGGGTCCTGATAATCAGTTTCTTCTAGAGCCTTTTGTAGCTGTTGCTCTACCACTTTCTCAATAAACTTCTCTAAAGGGGAAATGTTAGAGATTAGGCAATAATTGTCCAGTATAGCTGGATCCAAGGAGGTGGTCTGCTAATCTCCTTTTCAAGGACAAAGGTATATCCCCTTCCTGCAGTGGGGCATTCACAAAAGCTTGGACTCCAATTCCCATCCTTTCCTTGGGAGCCCATACATTTGCATCCTTTGAGTTGAGCTGGACTCTTTGTAACTTAAAGGGCATTTTCATATGGTTTACTTGGCAACAAAACGAAAATGGTTTGCTGTTGCCTTTGGGATATTTTTTCAGCTTCTCAGTCTGTCTTTTGCTCTGAAATTTGTGATCCCCTATTCATGTAGTAACTACATCCAACCCTGATTAGCTTTTTGACATTAGCCAAGTTCTTAGCTGGGCTTGTCTAGATACTGAAGAACTAATTTAATAGGACAGATAGGTGAGAGATGCTAAACAATGTGATGCAACAGCATTTCATCACCAATACAGGCATATCTTGGAGATACTGTGGTTTGGTTCCAGACCACCACAATAAAATGAATATAATAAAGTGAGTCATGCAATTTCTTTGGTTTCCCACTGGATATAAAAGTTGTTTACACTATACTGTAGTCTATTAAGTGTGCAGTAGCATTATGTCTAAAAAAACAATGTACATACCTTAATTAAAAATACTTTATTGCTAAAAAATGCTAATCATCATCTGATAGACTTGCTCAATGCAGGGTTGCCACAAACCTTCAATTTGTAAAAAAAACTGCAATATCAGTGAAGTGCAATAAAGCGAAGTGCAATAAAACAAGGTACACCTATATATAGCAGGTTTGCTGGAAGTGGAAGGAAGGGTTGTTGTTTTTTTTAATCAAATAGAACAACACAAGTTCCCACACCTTCTGTACCATTTGCTTCATTTCTGTTAAAGAATGAGTTGTTGAATGTGTTAAACACTAGTAGTGAACGTATAGACTATATAAAAATGCCATTCCTTCTTGTGATTTAGTGGTGCAATTTGCAGACGTGAAGTCCAATCTGATGCGTATTCACTTGAAAATAAATTCCACAGACTGAGCTTCGGGTAGACGTCATCAAATTTCCCCTATGCCATGAATTTTCAGGAAAGCCTCTTTTCTTCAACCTCATCTTTCGTACTTTGAAACTGGAGAATAAAGTTCTCCCATGGACAGTGAGAAAGCTGGGGTGGCTCCACTTACAGGAATTACCGCCGAAGAAGTCTGGAGAGAGGGTCAGGCGGGGGTGGGTGCAATGCTTAAAAAATGACGCCTATAGGCCTGCCGCCAGTGATGACATTTGACGTCACCTCGTCACCACGAGAACTCACTCAAAGGGGAGGAGCCATAGGCGGGGCGAGCCCGCTCTGCTGCCGGGAAGGGAGGCGCTCGTGCGCGGCGGAGGTTCCATGGATCGCTTCGCCTGGACTAGCGGCCTCTTGGAGATCCACGAGAACCTCGTCACGCAGCAGCGCGGGGTCCGCCTGTACGATGGGGAGGAAAAGGTCAGGGCGGCTGGTGGGAGCTGCGCCTGGAGGGAGGGAAGCCGGCTGGGTGGGCGGGGAGGGGGGAGGGGCCCCGGTCTCTCCCACAGGCAGCCCGCGAGGGGGGGGAGGGGG